AAAAACCATTACTAATAAAAAGAAGATGAGGAAAGAAACTAAAGAAACAGGTCTTCCTTTTTTTTTTTTTTTAAGCGGAAATCAAAAGATATTGGAGAAAGCAGGGGTGTTAGATAAAAAATGAAAGACTTTTAAGAAAAGATATTTTGCTAGCGATAGTGTCTCTTAAGGGAGATCAAGAAGGTGCACAAAAAGCCAGTCAAGGAAATGGGAAGTTGTGGAACTAAGGTAATATTTGAGTTTGGTCGAGTTGCCTGTCTTTTAAAATACAATTTAGAAAGAACCGTATAAGAATGAGAATCTCTGATCAGCATTCTGCCTAGTCATTATGCTAGACAATAGTTATATCAATACCTAAAGACTAAACTCAGGTTCCCCAAAAGTACAAAAAAACTTGTTCATTAAGACATTTATGAATGAGAGTTTTGTGCTAGTTTTATTGTGGAGAGTAAACAGAAGGTAAAGTATCTTTATTTTGGTTAATGATACTAGTGCATGAAAAAAATTATCTGTTCTACTTTACTGCTAAACAATTAGAATTTGTAGAATTAATATAGGCCGTAGTGCCTGTTATAGATAGAACCACTGCTCTAATTAACTTACATCCTGCTTGTCGAGCCTGAAGGTAACTAATTGATCATGAAGATCAAATATCCAGAATAGTTTTTAATGTTTTTTTATTGTTTTGAGAAGTAACTCATTCAGTCTATTCAAAATGTAACTAGAAATTTGAAAGTGGCAGGAAGAACATTATTATTCATGTTTTCATTTTATGTTAAATGTTTGTTCAGCTGTTAAACTCTAAATGGCATAAAATAGACTTTTTCTATGTATGGTTACATTTCCCTTTCCACTGAAAATAGCTTTTACTACTCTCAGGCAGATTCCCATTTAGGAGACCTATATTTCCTACCATTTGCAAGTGTTTGGTAATTCTTTTACTTCTGATTGTATGGCATGTAATTCTTAATGTCCTCCTAAAATTTCCCAGTGATATATAACTTAAAACTCAAAGGGGTCTTTGTATAATTTTTTTTTTCTTTATTGATTTTAGAGAGAGAGGAAGGGAGAGGAAGAGAGAGATAGAAACATCTATGAGAGAGAACATCGATTGGCCACCTCTTGCTTGCCCCACACTGGGTATTTGGCCCAAAACATGGGCATGTGCCCTGACTGGAATCGAACCATCAACATCTTGGTGCATGTGCTCAACCACTGAGCCACATCGGCTGGGCTGTCTTTGTATAATTTTTGAGAAATGTTTAAAATCCTGTAAGTTACTTGTAGTTACCCCAGTATATTATTAAGCTACATTTGAAATAATCATTTATATTATTAAATTAATAACTAAATTTATATAAAAATAAAAAAGAGAATTAAATGTCATATTTATGGTTATTAAAGATTCATAAAGCCCCGCTGGTGTGGCTCAGTGGTTGAGCATTGACCAATGTCCTGAGAGGTCGCTGGTCCAGTTCCCGGTCATGGCACATGCCTGGGTTGGGGGCTCCATCCCCAGTAGGGGGTGTGCAGGAGGCAGCTGATGGATGTTTCTCTTTCATCTATGTTTCTGTCTCTCTCACTCTTTTCCTTCCTGTCTCTCCAAAAAAGTCAATAAAAACATATTTTAAAAAAATTTTAATGTTTGTGTTAAAGTTTTATTTAGCCTTTTCAAGATTATTGAGAGGTTTACTTGTATGTTTTCCATTGTTTTATTTTAGTTTCTTTTAAAATGTTTTATTTTATTTTTTATTCATTTGTTGTTGACAGTATTACAGATGTCCCCCAAGCTCCTGCATGCCTTCCTCTACCCAGGTGCTTAATTTTAATAGAACCCAGACTTTGATTTATTTGTAACACTTTATCTTTGCCTCTCAAAAAGGAGCTCATCTTGTACTCACGTGTTTGAGATAAAGGCATACAAATCTTCATTACATACTTAGAATTAGCCTGAACCTATTAGGGCTAGGAGAAAACAAAGGCCTATTACACTTTTCCCCAAATGTTTTTATTTTTTACTACCGGCTCCTTATTGCCTCTTCATTTAAACCAATCTTTATATTTCACTAAGCCCAGCATGTTTTTGCTGGAATAATCTTTAATAACAAGGCCCAGGGAAAAATAACTCGTGAAAGAGTTAGCCGGGTCAATCAGAAAAGCTTGTCTTATTAAGTATAACTTACTAACTTTATTGGATTAACTATAACTTTAAAAAAGAAGGCTTCCCCTCTACCATATCTTTGGCAAAAATCTTAAGCAACTTATCAAGAAGGAAAAAAATCTTTTTCCACTGAGGCTTAAAAAGATGTGATATTTGAGGTAAAAAGTCATTAAGACAAGCTCATAGGATGTTGGATATTGTTGCTGATACATCCTACATTCTATTACTATTGAGCCTGCAAAATTATATTGGAATTTCATTAAAGTCATATTAATAAAAATGTTTCTTCCAATGCTTCCGGAGAAGTCCCTGAAATATCTGATAGACCCAGATAGAGGCTGTCTGACCTTTCCCTGTGAATATGTGTGAATACATATGTACACATATATACTCATAATAACTTCAGCCTACATTTTCTAACAGTATTGTCGAGGGGCCGGGGAATAACAGATCTCTAAGCTTCCCTTCCTACACAAAAGAAGCTAATAAACCCAAAGAACTGGAGTGTAACCTTATGAAATAGCAATACAAGTTTCATCTTATTATTTAAAAAAACAAAACAAACTTAAATGTTCTTTGAGGATGATTTTTTCCCCCCAAACATATTTCACACCTCACATCCTCCAATGAATTTCTCAGAGTATTAGCTGAGCTTTTGTACTTCAAATACCCATCAGGCTTAATGAATTCTCCAGGTTCTCCATTCTCTCTATTCTAAATAAATCAAATTTGGGAGGACAGGTTGAATAGGACAAGAAGTCAAGCACCTGAGTTTCTTGTTTGTGATGCTTTTCTGTTATATAGACCCCTTTGAAAGATAATGATGAAAACAAGTTCTTTGTAAAGAAGTGACACTGAATTTCTTATTTTATTGATTTTTTTCCAGAAAAAAAAATCAATGAAACATTTTACCACAGGCGAGACTTGGAAATATTTCTATTATAGTAAAAATTTTAGTATTTACTATAATGAGATGCGCTGTGATAAAATATTGGAAAAGAAATATTTAACCACTTAACTACCTACTTTAAGAACTATAAACTATTAGTATAGTATACACAAAGTTAATTTTGTGTAGATAATGCATTTGTTTTTAAAAACAATATATATGTACCTTTTATAGTTGTGGCTTATTCTTTATATAATTTGTGCTTTAAACCTACTTTTGGGGAAAAGAATGTATGTGTTTAGGGAAACACTATATCATAATTAGTATTAAAAGAAAAATGCTTATTTAGTTTGCAAAAAATTTCCATGTATAGTTATGCCATATATGTATTTATTTTTATTAAAAAATTTTTTTTTCTTTATTGATTTTCAGCGAGAGAGGAAGGGAGAGGGAGAGAGAAATAGAAACATTGATGAGAGAGAACATCAATTGGCTGCCTCTTGCATGCCCCCCAATGGGGATCAGGCCCACAACCTGGGCATGTGCCCTGACCGGGATTTAAACTGGTGACCTGTTGGTGCATGGGTTGATGCTCACCCACTGAGCCACACCGGCCGGGCAACCATATATGTATTTAAAGAATTAAAAATGTCATAAGTGGTTGATATAGCAACCCAAGTGTGTACTCTTCTTGAAAGTCTATTTGATAACTTTCAAGGTTCCTTTTTTAAATCAATAGGATGAGTTTTGGATACTATAAAATGAAAGTTTGACCAGTAAAGTTTGAGCCTCTTCAGTGGTACAAATCAGTGTAGGCAATCTTCAAAGCTAGTTTTCATTACCACAAAGATACCATACTTTGTCCCTATATGCCATTCATAATATTAGCCTGAAAAACCCCATGTGTGAAAAATTTGCCTTTCATTTATTATTAATTCTAATTTTCCCAATTTATAAATTAAATAGGCATTGTGCATATCGTATTTTGAGAACCTACAGAGTTAATTCTAAACACATTATTGTACTTTAACCTATAAAGTAAAGTACTCTTACTATCTGGGACAATTTAGTTCCTGTGGATGATTAAAAACAAACAAACAATTTTTACTTGTAATCATAAAATGTGTGATTCTATTATCAATTAGAAACATTTCAAGGAAATATAGTCAGCTCTTAGTTATCTCTGATATTTGGCCTTAGCATTCGGCCTCCTAAAATAATGGATAATTTGCTTTTCCCGCCATGCTCATGGCTTATAGCCTTTCCTTGTTTTTGCCACATTTGTAATTACATGTTGGTGGTTTTCAGTGGTGTTCTTCTTCCTAAGGTTTTATCTACCAATGCTGTACAGGATCAGGACCATCCAGCCACAGGGCAGAGGTAATGGTTAAGGCAGGGAGGGGAACGAGGATAAGAATGGGAAGGCACAGCGGCAAGGCAGCATTGAATGAAGCCAAACGTAGACCCAGGAACATATGACGTGACAGTACACGGCCTGTGTAATTGAGAGTTAAATTCATAAAAAGAAATAACTTTTAATTTAAATAAAAATGAAGTTTTGTGATAAATTTCCTGATAATAACTCCCCCCCACTTTTTTCGTAATTCTCTGGTTGATGAATTTTAAATATATGGATTTGTTTTATATGTTGAAGACTAAATATTCATTCTAAATGCTGATATTGTGTGTACCTATGTATGATAGATAAAAAATAACAAATCAACCTAAAATATTGAAGGCTATGTATTTGTGCTAAATTTTAACAGCAGTTTTCCATGAGATATTTCTTTAAAAATTAGGAAAATTTCAGATTCATCATATAACTTTTCATTGGTCAGTTAAAGGGAGGAGCATATGTAAGAGGTATTTGTGATTGCTTTGCATTTTACTAGAAAAAAATTGCTATTTTTTTTCTAATTTAGTTTTTTTCCCCCCCAATATTTGCTCAAGTTCTGTGATACGATCCCCATAAGTGAGAAGCCCCTGGCAGAACAGGAATGGTACCATGGTGCAATTCCCAGAATAGAAGCGCAAGATCTGTTAAAACAACAAGGAGACTTCTTGGTGCGAGAGAGCCATGGGAAACCTGGTGAATATGTCCTTTCTGTATATTCTGATGGACAAAGGAGACACTTTATCATACAATATACTGATGTACGTTTCTAATTTAGTTTATATGTATATTCTGATGTAGTTACATTGTGGTATAATAGTAATAAAATGATGAATAGTTTTTGATAAATGCCTGTAACACTTAGAGTTTAGTACTTAATTTTTTTTGCTGAATTCCTTAAATATAATGCTTCTAAAACTCACTAAAATGTTAATCTTATTAAGGAAATATGTAATTTAAAATACTGTAAATTAAAAATAGTTGTTACAAATTTGAATTAATTTCAAATGCATAACTATTTAAAATACTTGAGTTAAATTTGAGCATTAAAGATATTTTAAATTAAAAATAGAAATAATGTGATTATCATAATATTTTTCCTGGAAAATTTTAATTATGAATTTTATGCTCTTGAAATGTGCCCTTGAAATTGGATTCAAAAGCAGTATCATGAGAGACTTCTGAAGAAATATTTTATTAAATAGTGATAATAAAATTCCTTAATGAGCCTGACTGGTGTGGCTCAGTGGACTGAGAGTCATCCCAAGGACTGAGAGGTCCTGGTTCTATTCCTGGTCAGGGCACATGCCTGGGTTGCTGGGTCAATCCCCAGTAGGGGGCATGCAGGAGGCAGCTGATCAGTGTTTCTCTCTCACATCGATGTTTCTATCTATCTCTCCCTTCTCTCTCTCTAAAAAAAAAAAAATCAATAAAAACATTTAAAAAAATTCCTTAATGAGTGGGATAATGATAGTTGAATGGCTTTATGATTCATTTAGGATTAAGGTTTTCTTTCTTTTATGTATAATATATTGTTTGTTGGCGTTAATAAACCATAAATAAAAATTGATGACAAATTTAAAAAGGATCAATTAATATTGCTTGTTCTAATACTAATACATTTATTAAAATTTATTTAAGCACTGCTAAGCTATGTTTTATGTTTGTTACATTCTTTTATTAAGCTTTAAGAAACATATTTTAATGCACTATTTAATGCAAAGGATGACATGATTAACAATGCATCAGTCTTTTATTTTTTTGGTACATGCCTCTAGAGGGAACCAAACCCGCGACTCTCTGGTTCGCAGGCCGACGCTACAGCTGCTGAGCCAAATCGGCTAGGGCTCAATCTTTTATTTTATTTATTTATTTTTGTTAATCCTAACTCAAGGATATTTTTTTCAATTTTTTTTTTTTTTAAGAGAGAGTGGAAGGGAGGGAGGGAGGAAGGTGGGAGAGAGAAAAAGAGACATTGATTGGTTGACTCCCCCATACCTCCTTACTGGGTCAGGTATATGCCCTTGCCTGGGAATTGAACCCATGACCGTTCGGTGTGTGAGCTGACTCTGTAACCATTGGGCACACTGGCCAGGGCTGTTTATTAAGCTTTAAAAGATGAAGAGCAATCTCAAAATGTTGTTTAACTTTACACACCAAGAAATTTTAATGTTTTTGGCATATGAAGGAATTGCTGCCTCTATATGTCATTTTCCACTCCATTATTTCAAATGGCAAGCGTTTTCAAGCTGCCAGCTTATAGAATTTCACTTTTTGTTTAGGCACTAGAGTGATATTAATTACCATACAGTAGATTGAACCATTATCATTGGATAAATCTCAGAGGGGTTCTTAAAAGAGATACATTGAGATATATTTCAATGTATCTTTCTAATCTATTTGTAATTCTGAGATGAAATTCATATACAATGAAAGTAAGCATTTAAAAGTATACAGTTCAGTGGAATTTACTATATTCACATCTAGTAACTATATTTAAATGACAGTAGATGCCGTTCAGATGGGTTAAAAGAAATAAGTCCACTAAAAATATGTATTATAACTTTCACCTTATTAGTTAATTTTGCATAGAATTCACCTTAACTTGATAATCATATTTGCTTACTCATACATCAGAGTTACTGTTTCTAGTAGTAAGTCATTCCTTATTTCCTTGTCAAACTATTTTATAATTTGTATGTGCCTTTATAATGCATGTAGATAAGCTTTCCTATAACAAGCTGCGACCATGCTGACAATATTTATAAAATGGTATGAGAATTGTATAGGAAAAATCATAGGTCAAGTATAAACTAACTATAATTGATTAAAATGTTTCTTCTATAATCTCTAAAACTTACTATTTTTTATATGGGTTATACATAAAATAAGACAAATATTTTTTCTATTACCATCTCTAGTAACTATAGGAATTTAAATTAGTATTCTTAGTAATGAAATAGAAAATGTCTTTGTAAATTATAACTTGTCTTTAATATTGCCATTTTGTTTTAAGTGACTAAAGCAAATAGCTAATATATTCTAAAAATAAGACATTGTTTCAAGTTCACATTTTAAGATTTTATTAGACTTTCTTCTGTCATTGAAATTTTCAAAGATCTCTACTAAGATGAGAGTGCTTGCATTTCTGTAAATGCCTCAGGTTTTCCACTGCTTAATTTTATTTAGTTCATGCTCACTATATAATGTTGAGCTCTTAAGTCCATTGAAAATAGGAGTTTGAAGGTGGTATAGACTAGGATTTTAAAATTCTTTTTCATATGTGTAGGTGAATCTCCTAAAATTACCCCTTTCCTTCCTCATATACCTGTTGCCTAGAGGGGGTCAATAAATGGGCAAATACATTAGCAGATATTTAATGATTGCCTATCATATCTAATCAAGGAGTTTATAATCTAGTAGTAGATTATAAAAGCTGTACATAAATGACAGGATAGGTGTCCTAAGAGAGTAAGACATAAAAAATATGGAATTTTAGAGAATGGGTTCTAATACCAGCTCTTCACTTTATAAACTCTATGCTTTGGGAAAAAATAGGGTTAATAGCTTATACAGCTTTGTGAGAATCAAATTAGTGAATATATACTTGTAAGGTGTGGAGTGCTATGCAAATATTAGGTAATTTTACCATTGATGACTGTACTTGAGAAAAAATACAAATATTTGTAAGAAATATCAATGGAATTGGAAAAATTAATTTTTTTGTTTCTATGAGATTTATTTGTGAAATTTAAATAGTAATGAAAGTGCTTTAGAATTTATATACATACTCACTTTATTGTGATAATGTGGAATCAAACGTACAGTATCTCTGAAGCATACCTGTATTCAGTTTTGAGGTATTTATTAATCACCTCTAATGTTATTTTTAGCGATATTGCCTCTGTCAACCAAAGTCTAGGATTGAAAGTATTTTGAAGCTTTATTTTTGTATGCATGTCACAGTTACTTCTTCTTTTTTTTTTTTTTTTTTAATCCTCACCCGGGGATATTTTTCCATTTTTTGTACAGATAAAGTGGGGGGGAGAGAGAGAGAGAAACATCGATGTGAAGGGACACATCGAGTGGCTGCCACCCGCATGACCAACCAGGGCCGGGGACAAACTGCAACCGAAGTACGTGCCCTTAGTGGGAACCGAACCCGGGTCTCTCCAGACCGCAGGCCGACGCTCTAACTGCTGAGCCAAACTGGCCAGGGCTACGTCTTAACATGGTGTGAAATTCTGCCATTATGACTGAACAAGATGAACACTGTCAATTTTTACATTTTGACTACTCTAGCAGAGGTCATCTGTTGTTTTAGCTAGTTCAAGTAAGAAGAACTGTACCTTTTATTGGACACCAACATATTAATTTCACAAAGCTAGATATATTGAACATATCTAAGAGTCTCTGAATCTAAGTGTAATTCTAGTGTTACTTACTGACCTATTCCTTAGTTACCAGCTCGTTTATGGTATTTGATGTAAAATGATATTTATAGTTTGTACCTAAAACTGTTTATTTTGGGTCATAAATATTGATATATTTTCATAGAGATTCCAATAGCTTTGTTCCATTTGATAAGTAAATATATGTTAATCAAATCTTTGCATATGATAAAACAGAAAATACATATGATAAAACAAAAGTACTCAGAAAGAAATTTTTATGCTATTATAGGAAAGTGCCAATTCATATTTCTCTAAGTTGTTTATTTGACACATATTTGCTAAACCCTCATTTTTGCCAAGTACCATGTTATGCATTGTAAGGAGATGAAACCAAACAGTGTGTGACCTACTTCTCAGTGAGCTTAAAACTGAGTAGGTGAAATATTAGTAGAATTTATGAATGGAGAAATATTAAAGATACCGAATTAGGATTGATTGAGCCCAGAAATTTTAATTAACATATGGTAATGAATTAAAAATAACAACATAATAAATATTTTTAAATAAAACAGGAAAAAATTCTCTAAAGATATATCATCATCATTTATTTCTTCATTCATTCAATCAGGAAATATTATTTGAGAAAACTGGAGATTGTAATTACCATGTGAAATGTGGGATAGCTCAATGTATTAAATAATCATTCATTCAGCAGATATTTATTGGATTTCTGTCATGTGCTAAATTCCATTTTGAGCTGATGGATTAGTCTCTGAATATACTTTTTAGGTTTATCTTGTTTTGTTGCCATGATCTCTAGGCTCTTTGAACTATCTTTAAATGCATGCCATGGGACTTAAGGAAGACTAGACGAAAGCAAATAGAAATTCAAAACTCATTTGAGATAACAGTAAATTCCAAGGGTGTGGCCTTATCACAGTTGCACTTAGGATTATTTAACCCAGTGGTTCTCAACCTACCTAATGCCATGACCCTTTAATATAGTTGGTGACCCCCAGCCATAAAATTATTTTCATTGCTACTTTACTTCATAACTGTAATTTTGCTACTGTTATGAATCGCCGTTGGAAATATGTGTTTTCCAATGGTCTTAGGCGACCCCTGTGAAAGGATCGTTCCACCCCCAAAAGGGTCACGACCCACAGGTTGAGAACTGCTGATATAACCATTCTACTTACTCCAACCATTCAAGGACTACAAAGAAGGGAGTAAGTACCTTGAAGTAAAAATGACACTCTCATAATATATTTTCTTTGCCATTGGCACATAGACTTAAATTCGCCTTAACAGCAAAATAAAGCCATTTCAAAATCTTATTAATGTTAATTTTCAGGAAACACCAATTAAATGAGTGTTCTTAAGGCCCAGGGGTATAATGGTGGAGCTTACATTCCAGGGAGGAGGCTCACAGTCACGTGTAGTTATAAACTAGGGTAAGTGTAAAGACACAGTGCTATGAAAACTTTAACTGAGGAAGTTGACGAAGTTAGGTTTGAGACACCATCTGAAGAACGAATAAATGTGAAGTAGGAAAAGCCATACCAAACCTTATTAATATTATTCCTCAAGCTCCCCCAAATCCTTCCTGTGTAGTGGTTTAATTAGTCATTTGTAACTATTCAATATGTTATTTTTATTTGTATTGCATTTCATTCAGTCACACATGTTTATTTACCCAGGCAGTATATACCAGGCACTGTTCTAGACCATAGGGATACTGTAATGAACAAAATAAATGTAAAAATGTATCACCTCATGAGCTCTCATTTTAGAGAAGGAGATAGACAATAAACAAAATAAGTAAGTAAAATATATATGACTTTGGGTAGTGATAAATTCTAAGGCAGAAAATTTGATAAGGAAAATGAGGTAAGAAATTTAGTTGGGATGAGAAAATGGATGTTGAGTATTATAGAGTGGCCAGAGTAGACCTCACTGAAAAGGTAACATTTGATGAAAGACTGGCGTTAAGTATGGGAGTCATTATCCATATGGCCATCCGAGGAACTATTTCAAACAGTAAATGTCAATGGCCTGAGAAAGGAGTGTATATAGTGCATTTGTAAAACAAGAAGGAAATGAATGTGGCTTCAGTGGAATGGGGTAGTGGTAAGAGATGAGGTAACTTTATTTAACTTTATTGAGGAATAATTGACAAATATAATTGTATGTATTTAATTTTAAAGTATACAATGTAATGATTTGGTATAAATTGTAGAATGAATACCAAGATCAAGAAAATTAACATGGCCATTGCCTCACATAGTTTACTCTTGACCATTTTTAGTGTGTACTTCAGTGGTGTTAAGTGTATTCACATCGTTGTGCAACAATAGTTTTTCTTAAATGGAACTTAATTTATTGATGAATGTAGTCCTGCTGAAGCAATGACTTTATACTTACTCTACTTTGTTGTTCTTTCTCTAGAATGTGTATCGATTTGAAGGTACTGGTTTTTCAAACATTCCTCAACTTATAGATCATCACTACACAACAAAACAGGTCATCACTAAGAAATCAGGTGTCGTTCTGCTGAATCCTATTCCTAAGGTAGGTGCATGTATACACACACTTAAAAAGAAAAAATGCTCTGTGAGTTAACACTTCCCATAGCAAATAATGTTCTTAGAGTTTTTTTAAATAGAAGTTTGGAAACAAAATGACCTTTTGATTACTACTTGTACGAATGTAGTTGAAGCAGTTTCCTTGGTTTTGTTCAGATGGTTGCCCATTTATTCAATGTTTGCTAGGTTACAAGTGCCCTAGTTACCCCCCCCCACGCCTCCCACCTCCGGTTTTTTTTGTTTTGTTTTTTTATTTTCACCCGAGGACATTTTTCCATTTTTTGTTCAGATAGAGTGGGAGGGAGGGAGAGGGGGAGAGAGAGAGAGAGACATCGAGAGAGACATCGACGTGAAAGGGACACATTGAGTGGCTGCCTCCCGCACGACCAACCAGGGCCGGGACAAACTGCAACCGAGGTACATGCCCTTAGCGGGAACCAAACCCAGGTCTCTCTGGACCGCAGGTCGATGCTCTAACCGCTGAGCCAAACCGGCCAGGGCGCACCTCCATTTTTCTTGAAAGGCTTGAGGCTTTTCTTCCCTTTATAAGGTTCAGTGTTTGAAAGGTTCAGTTTATAAAAGATTCTAAGATGCAAAGGCCAAAGAAAATGTCCAGAAATCATGAATAAATTAGAATTTTAATTTTGGGCATTTAAGTTTACAATACATTGTAAGACATTGGAACTTTTAAAAACGATTTTACTATTCTCAAAGGCAGTAAATTAGAACTTCCCTCTGTGGAGCCAGGTAGCTGGGTGAGAGATTGTTCTGGGTCATTACCTCGAAAGTCTGTCACGGGACACAGTACTTTCATGTGCTTTAAGACATTGTGAGGTAAGGAATGGGTATGAGGAAGGGTGTGATCTTAGGCTAACACCTGTGGCGCCCGGGCCAACGTGGAGCCAGTTAGCTTCTGAGCCCTTCTGATGTGCAGCAATTGGGTTGGGGTCGGCAAGAGTCCTTTACTTTGGGGGCTGTGTACTGCGAAGAACAGTGTAGAAACAGGGAAGTCATAAAACCCGGTAGGTTGATATTTGCTGATTTGATTTTTATATATGTAGGGCTAACTTTTAATAAGAACTAAGTGTTATTCCCAAGAATGCTAGTGTATAGTCCAGACTGAGCTAAGGAAATTTAAGTCAATGATAATACTTTTGTTTGTTAATCTAGAATATAATGTCTATGTTTGTACTTATATTTTATTACTCAGTCTTTACTTATAGGATGAACTTAAAAATTGGAAATTTAAGTCAATGATAATACTTTTGTTTGTTAATCTAGAATATAGTGTCTGTGTTTGTACTTATATTTTATTACTCAGTCTTTACTTATAGGATGAACTTAAAAATTCCTCTCTCAGAAGATTTTGACAGTTGCTAAACACTAGTTATGTGGCTAAGGCATTGACCTTCTTGCACAGTTTTTAGAATTGTGAGATTGGCTTGTTCTTTGTTAGTATTTTTCCAACCCCACTCTTCTCCACATTTTCCATTTTAATTACAGAAAACTGTAAAAATTCTTCTGGACCAGGTTGTCACATTTTTCTCTAGTTAAAAAAAAAAAGTCTATCAGTGTTTTCTCTTCTATCAGTGAATACAGCTATTTATTTTCTGGCAGAATTTTAAGAGCTCTTTAGTTAAAGTGATTTGTTCTCGTGGCTTCATTTCCTATTTATACACCAGTAACTTGCAAATTTATATTTCTAGTTCCGATTTATGTATTTCTCAAAACGAATGTTTTTCAGCTTTTCACATAAAACTGAGTATATCACCATTAACTCCACAATTTGCTCTTCCTTTTTCAGTAAATGGTACGAGCTGCTCAAACCATAAACCTAGGGGACAACTCTGACATTTTCTCTTCCCCACTGCCCTCCCTCCAGTACTTAAGTGATGGGAGCTTTGTACACTTTATTGTACATGTGAAAGTATGAACTTTAATTCCAGTATATCTCAATCTGCGATAAAATTCAGTGTAATGAAGATCATTTTTACCCATCTTAGGTTAATGAAATACACAACTGGGTTTTCAGAGATACTGATATCCTGTTTCACTTGCCAACCAAATATTTGCATTGTCTGTTTGCTTAGCCAGGTTTAATTTGAGAGACCAAGGCATAAAAGAGGCACATAAAAGTACAGATCTGGCCCTGCCGGTGTGGCTCAATGGTTGAGCGTCGACCCATACACCAAGAGGTTGCTGGTTTGATTGCCGGTCAGGGCACATGCCCAGGTTGTGGGCCCGATTCTTAGTGGGGGGCATGCAGGAGGTGGCCAGTCAGTGTTTTCTCTCATCGATGTTTCTAGCTCTCTCTTCCTCTCCCTTCCTCTCTCTCTAAAATCAATAAAGGAAAAAAAATTTTTTTTAAGTATAGATCTGGTCTTTAGTGGGAACATATAATTTCAAGTAAAGTTTCATCTCTCACTATATGAAATTTTTCATGACACGAGTCTAGATATGTGGAGTAGATTCTCTGAACTGTTATTCTATGGCCGGTTATTCTCTTCCTCCCAAACCCCCAACGCTGGCTGTGGAGCTGATTATCTCATCATTATAGCACGAGCTGTGAAAATGACTGTAAATTGAAAGCTACAGAAGATTAAGGGGCCATATATGATTGTTTTATGAGGTGGAAATTTAAAGTTTATATAGCTATTAACCTGATCTAAAGTACTGATATTTGAAATATGCAAATCATTATCTCTGTTGTAAATATTGTTGTGCACTTGATTTAAAGAATCATGTTACTCTTTTGCAAGAGAATCACAAAACAGAAGTTGTGAAAGTTAGATAATTTTCAATTATGAGCAGAGGACAAACTGATATGGATTTTGTTATGGTCGTATTATCTGTTATGTATCTTCCTTTGAGAAGTCATTTGTACTCTTATAATTGGACTCTATTTCTTGAATTAATTTGTGAAAGAAGTTAATGTCTTTGACCATATAATGTACTGTAAAACATCTAATTTCCATCTTGTAAGACTTCATTTTTAGCCTACATAAAGAATGCTAGTTTGGTCTCAATATAATTTCTGTTTATAGCAACTTCAAAGAATCTTCCCATTTATTTCTCTCTTATCCATAAAGATATAAAAATATCATCACAATGCCTAACTGGAGGACACAGTGGCCAAAGTAGTCTCTTTCTTATCTCCAGAGGTAGAGGCAACTAGACAATCTAGAGATAGAAATTTAACTTTCTCATGGTAATAAAGCCAGTGGCACCCAAGACACTCATTCCTTACCCTGCACTGGCTGATTTCTCCTACACTGCCTCCCACAGTCTGTAAAGATATGGAAGAGGAAAGGCATTGTTATGAACAGGGTGACTGGCCTGTTCTTTACTTAGTTCAATTTCTGTTCAAATGTCACTTCATCAAGAGGCCTTTTTCTGGCTACCATGTGTAAAATAACGCTCCACCTCCTTATGTTCCCCTCTTCCTTAAATTTCTCTCTGTTATGGCTATGTTTACCTGATATTATGTCATATGATGTATTTTTAGATGTCTTTCTCCCTCAAGTGAAATGAAAGTTTCTTAAGGGCCAGAATTACATTTAACAATTAGTACAGCTGTATCCCAGTACCTAGAACAGTGCTGACCCACAGTAAGTGTTCAGTACATACTTGTTCATGAATTGGATTCATTAGGCAATTGCTAGGAGCCAGGTACCTGCTGAGCTTTTTATATGCACTATCTTATTTAGCCTTTATATATTCCTATGAAGCATTGTTATTAACCCCATACAATAATATTATTAACCCCATACACTATTATGAATGAAGAGCTGAAGCTTAATATGATAAATGACTTGCACAAGGTAAAAGACTCAGAGCTGAGATTTCAGCCCATGTTCTTAACCACTATCTGTCTAGATTGTAGAGTCTAGACCTTAGGGACTAGAATAAACTGTTTATTTTAAGGAACATGGATGTGTATTTAAGAGAAAGGTGTCTTTGATTCTTTAGAATGTTAAATTGAAAAAGATTTTAACATATCAAAAACAAAGTTTCTATAATAGGAAAATTATTAAAGAGTAATACTGTGCCACAGATCTGGGAATTTAGGTAAAATTTAAGGCTTGGTAAAATATAGGTTAGAAAGGCATCTAGTTCAACTTTAACATTCACATCATGCCTTGAAAGTTTATTTACTTTAAGTTCAACATTTGTTCAAATGTAACTGTTTTTAAAAAGGGATTTCTTTCTGAATGGAAATTAAAGTTCATGATTAAATGCAGGAGAGGTAGGCAGTGAGCCATTAAGTTGAACCTTAGAGGAAAGACTTGCCTGACAATGTAAATCAAGTACCCGTGGCCTTTTATCAGAACTGGTTTAGGCTGTCAGAGTATCAGAGGCAGATGTTTGGAGAGGAGAGTAAATGTTTCTGTGACCAAAACTACTAACTAGTAATGAGGAGACAGGTTAGTGGCAACAGCATTCATGGTCAAACACATGTAAACAAAGAGTAGTTCATAGGAGAGGAAAGCTACACTTGTGGTTAGGTACTCAACTCATTTTTTTAGTTTATGATCTCTTAAAGACTATTTTACCTTATACTTAAGGGTTGCTCCTCCCAATATTACTGTTAAATGATTTTCCTTTTATAGAAGCTTTTGATAGTTTTTGATATATTTAAGCTCTTCTCAGTTTAACATTTTGTGGACTAAAAGAGACTTTCCTTAAATCTACATCCATGTGCTGTAATTTCTTAATTATGTAATTAAATTATTAAGATAATTAAAAATTTTAGTGAAGGGAAGACTGGAAAACATGTGATTCAGTATTTGTTCCTTTGGCAAGTATTTGCGTAACACTCACTCTGTGCTGGACAGTGGTCTCTAGCTAGTATGGCCAAGGGCACTACCGGCTATGAAAATGAAGTAGGTCAAGGAGGTCACGACCTGGGCGTGACAATGAGGGCAGGGGTTGTGTGGTGTATGCTAGGGGAGAGCTGCTTTTTTAAAAACATTGTGATCAAAGAAA